AAAAAAAAAAAAAAAAAAAAAAGGAACAAAACTGAAACTGAATTCACAGGGCTCTAAGCATCTTGCCAGAGTCAGTCTGGTAGGAGGAAACCTTAACAACATCACCTGAAAAATAACAACTTTCAGTAACAGCATTTCCAGAAGCCCGGACAGGAATGCTAAGGGCAGGAGTGTCAGAACACATGACTCTCTGGATGACGTGTGACCAGGTCACACCTTGTTCTGCCCTGCTGGCCTCAAAAAGCTGCGATGAAAAGCAAACATGATAATGTAGGTGACGGCGCTCCAAATTCTGGAGGGCGACACACGGTCCTGAGTGATACCTGCAAGTCTCACCGGCCAGAATGGGTCGCATGGGGCCTGACAACCTCCTGGAATGAAGAGCGTGTGGGAGTCGAGGGAAACAGTGACGCCCTCTTGTTGAGCCTTCCTGTAGACCCAGTCTCCAAAGGACACATCCACGCCAACCTTGACTTCCCTGGAGCCACCCAGGCCTCCCAGTGAACATTCTAGAACAATCTGTGATGCTACGCAATGCCTTCCTAGCCCCCTCCTTGTAATCCACTTTTTGGGGAGTCTACTCTCTCCAGGGCTTCTGGGGAGATCCAGCCAAGCAGGCAGCTCGCGGGCATCTGATGGCTTGGTTTGCGTGGGAGAGGATTTTTGACCTGGGGTAAGTACCTCAGTTATGATTTTGGGCTGAAGGACCTGTGAGAATGCATGTACCAAGCAGGATGTAGTTGATACCATGCCGCAGCCAAGGCCCGAGCGCTTAGCACGTGCCAGGCCTTGGTCTAAGAGCCTCGGATCTGCCGAGCAATTTCACCCTTCCTGTGATGCCCACGGTGCGCGGTCCTGTTCTGTGCCGGTCTCACAGTCGCGTTAACTAAGGAACTGTGCAATTGAGTAAACTACTCAAGTCCACAGACCTGCAGGTGGTGAACTTGGGATCCCAGACCAGCCAGGGCCGAGGGCACTTCGTTCACTGGGTCACCTGGCCTCCCTAGCAGCAGGGCTTTTGGCTCCCTGCCTCCCACAAGCAAGGCCTACCGCAGGCTCTCACCTGCCTCATGCCCGACCTCTGCCTCGCTTCTCAGACATTAGGACTTACGTTCTCTATTAAGGTTTGCTTCCCAGACCCCAATTCTAGACCCGACATGGCCTCTGGTGCCCACCTTAATGAGGGACCACCGCTCCTATCGTGTGGCCTCTGACTTTCCTGACAGTAGACAGATCCCATCGTGGGTACCGGGTAAAGAAGGTAGGTCCGTTCTCACTCTTCTCAATTCTGCCTTTCTACCGAAAACCCAAGGAGCTCCCGGGGTGTGAAAAGGTGACCAGGAGCTTTGCTAAGAGCCAACGCAGAACAACCCCTGCGCTACGTCTAGCTGGCAGGCCTGCACAGTCAGAGCCATGCTACGGACTCACTGAAGACCTACAGGATTCACTGAGGGCCGACTGCTACCACAGCTTTTCCAACTATCTGAACGAGTGCCCAGGTCTGGAGGAGCCATTTGTACCAGCCCTGAGAGAATTGCCCAGTTACCGCCTAGGGCACACTGAGCCCGGAGACTCTGGGAGGCAACTACCCCAATGGGTCAGGGTGGGGACACCCAGTAGCAGGCTGGCCTGCGTCCTGGGCAGGGCACTTGGGAACTGCGTGTAGCACCTTCACTCCATCCAGCACCGCCTTGATGACCCCCTTCACGGCCGTCACCATCTCTTTGTCCTCCGAGTTCACGCCTTCCAGCATCACTTGGTCAGACCAGCGGATGAGGTTGGCGAGGCTTTGGTACACTCGGCTGTAGCAGGAGGAGAGGGCTGAGCTAGAGGAGAAAACCCAAGGGAAATGGTTAAAAAAAAAACCTGAAACCATGACCGTCTCTTAAGACACCTGCTCAGCAGAGAATCAGTTTCTCAGCAACAGGGCACATTTCTCCATCTTTTTTGGTAAAATCCCAAACTTCCTTTCAGTAAACAAACCTTTAGGACCAGCAGGTGGCGTGGAGGTTAAGGTGCTGGATTACACATGGCCAGCTTCGTGGTCTGAGGCCCAGACCCGGTGGCTTGAGAATCACACTGGGCATGTGTGCGTGCGTGCCCAAAATCCTGAGAAGAGAATGGAGGAGAAAGGACTGCAGCGTGGCCAGCCCCCTGGAGGGTGATTTCTCACTCCCTCCTCCCTCTCTTTCTTTCTCTGGTGAGTGCACACTCCCTATAGCAAAAACTAAAAACAAAAGTCTTTTCTCCCTGAGTTTTTCCCTTATATCTTACATCCAATGCAGATTCTGTGAAGATTTATATCCTAGGCAAGCAAGTCACAGGGGTCAACAGGCATGCAGATTGCTTTTTCCAGGCTTTTGCCATAGGGTGCGTACACTTTTCCCGAGAAAGACAGAGAGAGGGAGAGTGAGAAATTGCCCTCAGAGAGGATGGCCATGCCACGATCCCTGAGTCTCCATTTCTCTCTCAGGAGCCTGGGCACACATGTACATGCACCCAGTATGATTTTCAAGCTGCCAGGTTTGGGACTTGAACCATGGTCCCCGGGATGTAACACTGTACCAGGCAGGGTCCTTGAAAAGGAGCAGTCAGGGTTCAAGGCAGATGGAGGGTCCACGGTGCTCCCCCAGCAGGACTCAGCTCTGTCGCCCTCCACATGCGACCCGTCCGAGTGCACACAGGAGGGCTATATTGAGAACAGCAAGTGACAGGTGGTGTGGCTTGTGATGGTGGGGGTGCGAAAGGGTAAACGTGTGGATGCACGAGGTACCAGCTAGTAGCTACCCTGTGAGGCCCACGCCTGTAGAACAGGAGCCCCGAGCACCCTGGGGTGCCTTAGGGACTGCTGGGTAAAGCCAAGATGAACATCTTCCATCTTCCATGTATTTTTTAAAGAGTTTTTAAATTTAATTTTATTTATTTTAATTTGACCAGAGAGGGACAGTGAGAGCGAGAGGGCGGGGGGCGAGGGGGAGTGAGAAAGCAAGCCACCAGGTCCAGGACTCAAACTGCAGTCAGCCATGTGGGAGTCCAGCACCTTTAACCACCACACCACCTGCCGGCCCACATCTTCCATATATTTTTAAGTAACTATGATAATGTTGCCATGGCATTCTAGAAAGGATTATTTTTTCCCATTTCAAACACTGCATTAAATTAGAGGAAGAACGAAAATACAGAAAAAGCATATGAAGTCCCTCCTCCACTCAAAAAAAGGAAAGAAATCTGGGGCCAGCTCTGTGGCTTAGCAGCAGTGCCCTGTTTAAGAGAAACTGGATCCCACATGGTGACCACAGTTCGAATCCCCTGCCCAGTCAGTTTGATGCTGGGCACATGCTTGACAGGCTAGATGACTGGAGGAAGGACCGCAGGGTGGCCGGACCCTGGGGAGGGCGCTCCTCTCTGTCTCACTCTCCCATACATGTGTGCACCTTCTCTGTTATGAATAAAGACAAGAATAAAACAAAACACCCAACTTTAAAATAAAGGTCTGAATCAAGCAACGCTCTAATGAGAAGCTCTTTGGAGTCAGGTAAGGAGGAAAAGGTTGTTCCCAGAGATGCGAGCTCTCTGTCAGTCAGCCACTGCGCTCAGCACAGGTGTCGAAGGAGACAAGTGGCCAGGAGCCCCGGGAAGCAGGCCTGTCTCGGGCATGAAACCGAGACCACACCGAACAGGTATAAAAATTCCTCTAGGGGCGTGGTGGTGAAGGCCCTCAACTCTCACATGGCTGGCTGCTGCTTGCGTCCCTAACCTGGCAGCTCTCTCTCTCTCTCTGGTGAGCACAAATGCCTTATAGCAAAATTTAATAATAAACAAAATCAAAGAATTCTTGAAAAGAAAATTAAAAGAAAAAGAAAAAAGAAAAAGGCCTCCGTGCGTCGGACTAGCGTATCAAACACACCCCCAGGAGACCACACAGTTTTTCTGGGAGCTGTACACAGGACTGCTTCCTGGAAAGACGCTGTAAGGACAGAGATGGCGAGGCCACCGGGTGCTGTGTCCCCCAACTGCCCAGCACCAAGACCCCATTCTCCAGTGGTCAGCTGAAACTCCAGGGTGGAAGCCCAAGGCAGAGAGCCCCTTAGAAATAAAGACTCTGTCTGCTCTCTCTCAGAAGAAACTGAACAGCACTGCCAAGTTCTGAAAGCAGTTCAGAAAAGCTTAGCCTCACGGAGCTAAACGAGCACGCGGCCATCTCGAGGGATGCTCTCACCCTGAACAGGTACCGTGAAAGAAAGCCAAAAATCCACGAGCCTCTCAAGAAGCTCTCACTGGGCTTTCATTTAGGGTTACACGTAATACTGCTCTTCTTTCTAGGCCTGGCAACCAACACGGAGCAAGCAGCTCCTAACCTTGGGGAATGTGCTCTAGTGATAAAAGCATGGCCCCACAAAAGCTCCCTGGGCGAAGGCTCACTCCACCCTCCCCTGAACCCAGGTGTGCCCTCGGGGGCCTGGCTCCACACAATTCAGGACTGTGCTATCCCGGGCTGAAAGGGTCTCATCTGCTCTTCTGCCCTAATCACTGTGGAGCCGGGCACTCTGATGGGACTGACTGACACAAGAAAACGTCTGGCTGATGTGGAGAAACGACCACGGGCTTTTGTCAGGCGAGATCCTAGGACAGCAGAGATCCGCCTCCCTGCTGAGGCTTCAACAGTGAAGAAGCAACAATGACCTCACTGAGGCTCAGGACTCAACACCTCAAAATGTGATTGTGGATGGGACCGGCAGATGGCGTAATGGTTACATCACTGGACTCCCACATAGTCGACCTCAGTTCGAGTCCCAGACCCGGCAGCTTAAAACTCATGCCGGGCATGTGTGCATGGATGCCCAAGATCCCAAGAGGAAAATGGAAGAGACGGGATTACAGTGTGACCAGCTCCCCAGGGGGGTGATCTCTCACTTTCTGTCTGTCAGGTGTGCCCTCGGGGGCCTGGCTCCACACAATTCAGGACTGTGCTATCCCGGGCTGAAAGGGTCTCATCTGCTCTTCTGCCCTAATCACTGTGGAGCCGGGCACTCTGATGGGACTGACTGACACAAGAAAACGTCTGGCTGATGTGGAGAAACGACCACGGGCTTTTGTCAGGCGAGATCCTAGGACAGCAGAGATCCGCCTCCCTGCTGAGGCTTCAACAGTGAAGAAGCAACAATGACCTCACTGAGGCTCAGGACTCAACACCTCAAAATGTGATTGTGGATGGGACCGGCAGATGGCGTAATGGTTACATCACTGGACTCCCACATAGTCGACCTCAGTTCGAGTCCCAGACCCGGCAGCTTAAAACTCATGCCGGGCATGTGTGCATGCATGCCCAAGATCCCAAGAGGAAAATGGAAGAGACGGGATTACAGTGTGACCAGCTCCCCAGGGGGGTGATCTCTCACTTTCTGTCTGTCTCTGTCTGTCTGGAGGGTGCACGTGCCCTACAGTAAAAATCTCTAAAACAAACAAACATACATATGACTGTGGGAGACTGCCACCCCCAAATACACGGCTACGCTAAGACACTGCAGAGATGGGGTAGTTCTGTGTAAAATAAATTTACATCATAAAGGAACCCCACATTAGCAAAGTACCTAGGAAGAGGGCCACTTCTAGACAGCCTTCCCCACCTGTGAGACTATCTCATGATAGGGCAAAACTGCTTACCAGCAGCCCCTCCAGCTCTCCCGTACAGTGGCCGCAGGAGCCCTGTCTGCTCTTCTGTGTTCAGCTGTGTAAGCTTCACTCATCCAACCCTTCCTCAAGTCTCTTGTTTTATGAGACTCCTCTGCGTGGGCATGTAGTTACATATGGTTTTTCTTCTGTTAATGTCTTATATCAATTTACATAACGGCTCATCTGTAGAACTTAGAAGGGTGGAGGGAAGCCGACTCCTCTCCCCTACATCTTGCAGACACACGTGTGTGTGTGTGTGTGTGTGTGTGTGTGCATGTGTGTGTGTGCAAGCACGCTCTGCTGGACTGTTTCTAGAAATCTTGCATTTCAAGGGCTCCCAAACTGAGATGCCCTAACCCTCCCATGGTGCCCCTGGGAGCTTACCTGTGCTGGACGCGAGGGTCGCCCTGCACCAGGGGCAGGATGGCCTCCAGCACCTTGCTCGCTGAGCCCGGGAGCATCTCCAGCACCTTCTTATCAATAGCCATTTTGTCCACAATGGTCTTAAAGTAGCGCAAGGCACTGACGACTTCCTTCTCTTTCTCTTCCAGCCAGCTCAGATTCTGAAAGGGAACGTGAGCACAAGGAGGGAGAGGGGGTTAAAGGAGTGACTGTGAAAAACAAACTAAACTTTCCCGTAGCCTAGCTTGGCGTGATGGTGCATGGAAAAGGTTCTTGTTGCACAAACTAAGCTGCATTATTCTTCTAAGAACTGTCACCAGGAGACAGGCTGAGCCTGAGGAAGAGGGGGACTCGGACCAAAAAACTGCTTAGAAATCCCAGAATCCCTGCCCCCACCCAGACCCAAGGTCTTGAGAATCACCTCTTCCTCTCCCACCCTGGTCAGCCAGAGATACCTGACCAGTCTCACTTGCTAACGACTCGGGGAAGCAACGGCAAGTCACGGACACGGCCCCTGCAAATCGCGGTGAGGGCTGGCAGGCCTCTCCTTCCCAGGCTCGGGATGGAAGATGGGTGCAGGGCAGGCGAGTTCAGGACACCCTCCCCAGGACCTTCTCAGATCCCCACACCCTGTCAATGAAATGAAATGCTATGCCCTCAGGGCCTCTAGGTCCTGAAGGGTGGCAGGCTGCACTCTGCTCTGGAGGGAAGTCCACCGAGAGGAAAAGGAAAACCCAAACGTAGCACTTCCCAGCCCTTGAGCTCCCACCCGACTCTCCCCTGCACCAGTCGGTGTACACACGGCCCAGGCTCCCCCCCACCCTCCTCTGCCAGCCAGAATGTAGGGACCCAGTCCCAGTTGGCTGGCAGGGGAAGGGAAACCAAGAGCAACCTAGGGAATGGACAAATCCCAAATGGGTCATCTACCCAGTGCAATCGATTCCACACCCAGCGCTAAGAGGGGTGTGCATGAGGAAAATTACTGTCAGTGTGCACTCTGATGTCCAAAGAATGTATATAAAATCAACCGAGAAGATAACTTCTAGAAAAATTTGATTTAAACAGTCATCTATAAATATACAAATGATAAAGATGTAATAAAAAATGACTATGGTGGTAAAGGTGCTGGATCTCGCATGGCTGACTCCATGGTTCAAGTCCTGAACCTGATGGTTTGAAAAACACACCAGGCACGTGGGTATGTGAGTACAAAATCACAAGAAGAGAACGAAGAAGAGACTGCAGTGTGGCCATCCCCCCAGGGGATGATTTCTCACTTTCTCTTTCAGTCTCTCTCTAGTGAGTGCACGTCCCCTATGGCAAAAAAATCTCAAAAAATAAAAGAGGATTTATGACTGAACATTATCTTGTTTAAAAAGATGAAGGATGTCATTTTAGGCACAACAGAAAGACCAATAGTAGAAGCTTTTATTTTGTGGGCACGCCGAAAGAAAAACAGGCAGAACAGGATGGGAAGTAAGCTGCCCTGTAGTTAGGCGACTTCCGCCAGTGGGTACTCCCAGAAGGCCCGCCGCCGACCACTGGGCAAAACTGCCAAGCACAGCTCAGCCCCGTTGCTGGATCCCTGTGCCCTGGCTTCATTTCTTCCTTTTCCATTACTTGACGTGTTTATTTACTGTTCACAGGAGCCCAGGCACTGCTTCTGCACCTCGGGGATAAGAGCTCGGACCTCGTCATTACTACCCATGACTGGGAGGAGCCTGTGGGGGGAGTTGCAGTGCCCCCGGACATCACATGCGGCTAAAGCCCCCTCAGTCGGGCAGGATGGGGGCCACAACAGGCCACTGCCAGCTTGGCACACCAAAGGGTGCTGGAGGCTAGCAACGATGGAACTCAGTGACAGGCAGGACATCCTGAGAAAGCACTGCCAGGTTTGCTACAGAGGGAGGGCCAACCTGGGGATGCCACTGCAGGGCAGGAGACGCTCCTATCACCGCAGAGAGCCAATCAGCCTTTGAAAGCAAGGCTGGGCTGGGCCACCATGCAGTGGCCAGGTACTGAGCACTGGGAGGGCGCTGTGTCCCATGCAGCCAACTATGGTTCAGATCTGACCCTGGGGACTTGAGAAACGTAACAGGCGCATATGCACACACGCCCAAAATCCTGATGGGAAGGGTAAAAGGGGGAAAATGGACTGTGGCGTGACCATCCTCCACTATGATTTCTCTCTCCCCATCACTCTTTGACAAAGTGTGCAGGGCCTATGGCAATCAAAAACAAAACAAAGCAAAACTGCCCTGAACTTCTAAAAGAGACGGCAACACCTGGCAGTCAGGCTGCATCCATGAACTCTGCAGCAAACCACATTCCGAGAACCTGGTCTCTGAGTGGTGCATCTCCCCAGCCCTTGGGCTGTTCACCTGTGGCTTTTTGCAAGCCTGGCCATGCTCAGTAGCGTTTACGACACCTGCACCTCACACTAGCTAGGGCCTGGGACTCGGTGCCTGGCTCACTGAAGCGGCCTTGCTGCGTAGCCTCGAAGGCTGCTGTGCCCACCTGCACACCCTCCCACCCTAGGGAATGAGTTACTACTACTGTCTACGCAGGCCTGGAAACTAAATGAGGCTTTCAGTGCATGGGGAGAGCCCAGAACAGCAGCCAGCTTCTGGGCTTAGGAAGCCCAAAGATGGGGAGAGTATCTGCCCTGACCAGCCAAAGAGGTTACTGAAACGGACTGAATGGAAGCAATTCACAATTTTTTTTTTAAACAACATGACTCCATTTTTATTCATCTACTTTTCATTATTTTAAATCCCTGAGGGGGTACAGCATCACACAGATTCTGCGTCCAATGGCTTTAGCAGGAAGGTTGCTTTGGAATTTAGCTTGACCTCACCACTGTTTCCATGGGCACGAGTGACCTTTCCCCAGACCGCGCTGGTTTTATTTGGTTTGCCACCAGGAGTCACTGTGTTGTTTTGTGCTCTGTACACATAAGCACACCTCTTGCCTAAATAGAATTCCATTTCATCTCGGGCATAAACACCTTCCATTTTAAGAAGAGCTCTGTGCTCCCTTGGTTCTTGAGACCCCGCTTATAGTCAGAAAAATGGCTGCGGACCAAGCACAGCCTTCCAGACTAGCCGCCACTCACAGGCTCCAAGATGGCGGGAAGGGAAAAGCCGCTCTTCACACAATTTAAGACACTACACCAATATCAGAGACTACTGCAAATCTGCTCGCAGTCACAAAGGAGGACAAAGGATGTACAATTCTGCAAGGCAGAGAGGCCAGGCCCTAGCTGCCACCCACTGGGCCGTCTGTACATGCATGCTTTGTGTAAGGGTTGCAGCCACCCCACGCGGTAGGTGCTGTTGTGTCACAGGTGAGGAAACAGGCTTGGGGGGTGGGCTGGGGGGGAGGTTAAGCAACTTCCCCACGTCACACAGTCTGAGTGACAGAACTGGAATCGGAATGTGGTGTGCTTGATCCCAGAGCTAGGAGAGAGGGGGTAGGGTGGAGGGAGATCAACTGGAAATACATGGAAAAAGTTAAGACATTTACTAGAGATTCCTGGTCCAAAGCTCTCCTAAATAAAATGAGGTCCTTGGGGACAGCAGAAAGCATGGTGGTTGAGGTGCTGGACCCCTGCATGGCCGACTGTGGTTCGAGTCCCAGACTTGGCAGCTTTAAATGCACACCGGGTGTGAGTGTAGGGGTGCCCACCCAAAATCCCTGAAGGGACTGAAGGAGGAGGAGTTGCAATGTGGCCATCCCCCAGGGAGTGACTTTTCACTTCCCTGCTCTCTGTGTCTCTCTGTCTCTCTCTCTCCAGGAGCACACATACCTATGGCAAAACAAAACAAAACCCTAGAAATGAATAAATAAATAAAATAAAATGAGGCCCAGATGACAGAGACAGACAGGAGACTTGGGTTGGCTCCTGCCTGTGGGGTGTACTCAACCCCTTCGTCCCACCCAGGCTGTCGTGTGTCCCTGCACAAGGCAGGTAGGGAGGAGAGAGACTGAGAAGAAACTGGCTGGTTTTCTTTCTGCAGACACTCCTGCCACAGCAGAGCGGTACCCGGATCCCTGCTGCACCCTCCCTCCTGGTCCTATCCACAGCCCTGTGGCCCTTCTCTCCACAGCAACAAGTCTCGTAATTCACAGGACAGCAAGCCAGACAAGGCTGAGCTAGGTGGGGTGGGACAGGGTGGGGGAGGATTAGAATCAGTGGAACGAAAGCGAGAATCATGGGATTTTGTGTGTGTGTGTGTGTGTGTGTGTGAGAGAGAGAGAGAGAGAGAGAGAGAGAGAGAGATTTTTGCTACAGGGTGCGTGAACTCACCAGAGAGAGAGAGACAAAAAGTGAGAAATCACCCCCCGGGGGGGGAAGGCAAAGCCACATCCCTTCTTCTCCACTCTCCTCTTGGGACTTTTAGACATGCATTCACATGTGGCTGGTGTGAGTTTAAAGCCACTAAGTCCAGGACTCGAACCATGGTTAACTGTAGGAGTCCAGTGACATAACCATTAGGCCATCTGCTGATCCAAAAGAATTATTTCATTTTATTCATCATTATTATTTATTTTAATTTGACCAGAGAGAGACAGAGAGAAAGAGAGAATGCAAGCCACCAGGTCAGGTGAAGTGAATTAGTCGGTGGAACAGAAGCTGGGATCCCAGGATTTGTTAAAGGCAGTACAATGTTAATCCTGTCCACTGGCACAGAACAGCAGGCCCTGGTAAGACCACATGTCTAACACAGACTGAGACACAGTTAGATGGGCAGGTCCCCGCTCCACTCACCACCAGACCCTCTGACAGTAACATCTTCCTGCTTAGGTTCCAGGAGGTTTCAAGTGTCAAGAAGAAAACCCTCTGGGAGTCCACTCAACAGCGTGGGACCCCATCTCTGTCCAAATGCCTTGGGAGGTTGAGAAGCCACACCCCGGACTGTCAGTGGGTGGTGCTAATTGTTGGACTACACCCGGAGTGTCATCTTTGAGCTCCAAGTATGTAGCTGAACTATCTCCGCACTTTTCTCTACCACTATGGCACTCGCTGCTAGGCTTGCTAAAAGTTGCCAAAGAGTTTTTAAATCAACACAGAATACTCTTGAGTTTTTTAAATTCAACTAAGAAGATAGAAGAGACTATAAGCATATCTAAGTAGAAACAGTGTGGAAAAACAACAGAATACAGTAGGAAAAACAGACTTTAAGAATTCGTGGGCCAGAGCCAAGACTCTCTGTATGTTGGGAATTATAAAAGCTTCCCCATGTGGTTATGGTGAGGAGTTGACAGGACAGTGTGTGCGCAACAACCCAGGACAGGGCCTTGGCGAGTAGAGTGGCCCTGGAGCCGCACTTCCATCTACTTTAGTCCCCCGCGTGTTCGCACAGGACAGCCATGTGTACACCTGGGAGAACACGAGGACGGATGTGTAAATGCTCTCAGGAGCAAAGATGGGGGAGGCAGACTACCCCGGAACCACACACCTTGGTGTGGTTTCCACCAAGCAACAGGTTGGTATTCACTTTGTCCTGTGCAGGTGACTTGAGAAAGAGCACAGCAATTCAATCCTTGAAAGTAATGGGCGGGACCAGCAGATGGCACGATGGTTATGCTGCTGGACTCCCATGTAGTTGACTGCAGTTCAAGTCCCAGACCTGGAGGCTTAAAACTCCTGCTGGGGAGACCAGCAGTTAGCTTAATGGCTATGTCGCTGGACTCCCATGTAGTCAACCGTGGTTCAAGTCCCGGACCTGGCGGCTTAGACTCACGCCGGGCATATGTGCGTGTGTGCCCAAGATCCTGGGAGGAGAATTGGAGGAGAAGGGATTGCGGCATGGCCATCCCCCCTGGGAGGTGATTTCTCACTTTCTATTATCTGTCTCTATCTGTCTGGTGAGTGCACGCGCCCTACAGCAAAAACCTCTCCAAAAAAAGAAAAAAAAAAACTCGTGCTGGGCACGTGGAGAAGGGATTGTGTGGGGGGGTGACTTCTTGCTTTCTCTCTCTGGCGAGCACACATGCCCTATAGCAAAAGAAACAAAACAAAACTCTCTTAAAAAAAAAAAAAAGGAATGGCCAAAGGGGATGCCATTCTTCCTCGGGTGAGGACCACTCCTACAGCTCTCTGCTGTACGACATGTTTCCTGGCCTCTGTTGGCACTGACATATCAGGGCAGACGATGCTTTGCTGTGGGGTTTTTCGGCATCCCTGGCTCTTACCAACTACACCCCAGTGGCACCTGCTCCACTCTCCTTCCTATAACCAACATCTCCAGACACAGCCACATGTCCCCTGGGGTCTGCAGGTACCCTACAAGCGAGGGTACTTTGGCACTGAATTTTCCTCCGAGTCTTCTCTTTGAAATAATGAATAACACGGGGAAAACCCAGGAAGTGAGTTGGTGGAAGAGTTTTATGTCAGCTCACTAGCAGACCAGTTGTTAGTAAATCATTTTACTCTAACTTTCCGAACTAGTGTGAGATGACAATTTATAATCTCTTTGGAGTTTAGTATTAAATGTAGCTCCAGGAGGTTGTTTAACAGATTGTAATAAAAATCATCGTGGGCGCAGACCGAATATTCTACTTTGGTGCTCCGTCTCAGTCTGGGATTTAGATCAGTCTGGCGAACACTGAATATTTTTCACTCTTCGATCTCCTTTAGCTAACAGATGGGACAGAAAAACTATCATTCAGCAGAAGACTTTTGGCTTTAAAACTTTATTTTCTCCACTTTTAATTAGAATTTTTTAAAGACATTCTGCTGGCCAACATAAATACTGAAAACAGACAAATTCCAGAATTCACGAATGATGTGTTTAGGGCCAGCCCTAGTGCAGTGGTTACACAGTGAGCAGAGGCAGCCAGATCCCGCACTGCTGACCCACACTGCCGACCCCACTGGGTTTGAGTTCTGGCCCATGTGGCTTATGCACTGGGCACATGTGCCCAGCATCCTGATGGGACAGAAAAGTGAAAGAAAAAGAACTGCGTCATGACTGGGCAGTGCCTTTACTCCCTCTCTCCCCACACTTCCTTCCACGTCCTCCCATATAAAAAAGTCTTAGAAGAATGCCATGTTTGGGGCCAGCAGGTGGTATGGAGGTTACAGCACTGGATCCTACAGGTCTGACTGTGTGCCCAGGTCCATGGCAGCTTGAAAATCGCGCCACACATGTGTGTGTGCACATCCCAAATCTCCAAAGGAAACTGGAGAGAAGAGACGTGAAGCGGCCACTTGCCGCCCCCCCCGGGGTGTGTGTGTGTGATTTCTCATTCTCCCTCTCCGGTGAGTGCACATGCTCTATAATAAAAACTTAAAAAAAAAAAAAAAAAGGAAGACGACGACTTATGTGTTTAAATAACATTGTAGTGTTTGCCAGTGGTATTAAATTGATGGCTGTGACAATAGTTGTACTGAAAATTATGCTTTGGATAATTACTATAAGATTAAGGGTCTATTTGTCTACAAGGCTTGCTTTGTTTTATATTACTAAATTTAGTTTAACTGTTATGTGTGGAAATGAGTCAGGACTGATATTTACGGTTGAGAGAGATCTAGAAATAAATATTTTGAAAGGCATTTTATGTTTTAAAAATACTTATATATATATTTTTTTTTTTTTTTTGAGAGGTTTTTGCTATAGTGCGCATGCGCTCACCAGAAAGACAGAGAGACAGAAAACGAGAAATCACCCCCCGGGGAGGATGGACACCCTGCAATCCCTTCTCCTCCATTCTCTTCTCTGGATCTTGGGCACACACGCACACGTGCCCGGCATGAGTTTAAGTCACCGGGTCTGGGATTCGAACCATGGTCGACTATGTGGGAGTTCAGCGACATAGCCATTATGCTAACTGCTAGTCCCAAGAATACTTATATTTTTAAATATATGGCTTTCTTTCATAGAAAGGAAACAGAACGAGAATTCAGGCTGACGGCGGTGGTCTGTGCTCACACCTCGACTCCACCCTCTTTGTGCCGTGTGACTTTGGCTGGACGTCTAATACCGCAGTAGACGGGAGCTTCTCACTGTCGCGGCTACTATGAAGATTTCATAATAGGACCCGTGTAACGCATTCAGCCCGGGGTCAAGGAAAGGTGGATAAACGCGAGCTGGGCAGGTGGCTCCCTGGTCCCGAGAGTACTTGGTTTGGTGGCAGTCTCGCCACAGCCCATGTGATGTGCTAGATGTCTAAGAAGTGGAGAAGCCTCCCCCTAACTATTCAGACCATCTTAGTAATTCAAGGAAAGAACAGCTGGCCTCGAGAAGTGACACTCGTCCACATTCCCCGAGAACCCGTCAGACCCAAGCAGCAACCCAAACCAATCCCAGAAAAGATTCCCAAGCTTTGGCCATGGAGAACTGAGCTCTCTCCAGAGACCATAGGGGCTTGGATAAACTCTCTCTCTCTTTCTCATTTTTTAAAAATTTTGTCAGAGGGTGCATATGCTCAGCAGACACAGACAGACAAAGTGAGAAAGCACTCCCCACGGGGGATGGTCATACCGTAATCCCTTCCCCTCCATCTCTCCCTCCTTTTGGGATTTTGGGCATGTATGCACATGCATCCAGTATGCTTTTCAAGTCGTCAGCTCTGGGACTTGAACCATGCCATTGGCCATGTAGGATCCAGCTGCCTTAACCATCTTGCCACTGGCAGGCCTATAAACTGTCTTTTATCCAAGGCACCCTGGACTCTTCCTGAACCGTTCACAGCCCAGAGTCACCACCCAACTGAACATGATGATATTGCAATAATTTTTTTCTCCATCCCCAAAACCATGGACCAGGATTCTGCAGTAGAAGGCAAGGCAAACCCAACAGTTCTTAATGTCACACTGACCTTCTGCCTTTGAGACCTGGAAGCCACAGCACTGGTGGACATAAATCCTACTGCCTGCTGCTCCAGATCCAAGGGGAGAGGGCAGCCCTCTGGTAGAAATCTGTCTGTTGCCTCCTGGAAGAGAGGAAACCTGGATTCCTACAGAGCTTGGGGTGCCGTTTCCAGCTGAAGGGAGGGGCTGATGACAATCAACAGCTGTCTCAACAAATCTGGCCTGACTGGCCCTGCTGAGGGTCCTGGTGCTTAAGGACATATCTGGCTGGGTTTCAAAGGGTCTGCATGTTTCAGATCATGGTCCTGAAAGCCCAGTGACCGATGTTTGGACATCACAAACTTCCCTGGGTGTGAGTGAGCGCCAGGGTGCTGTGGGGACCTCAGGGGCAGGGAGGCAGCCTCTTGGGGTATGAACAGGCCAGGCTGAGCCTTTAAATGCCCAGAGAATGACACAGCAAGGAAAAGAGAACTGTTCCAGCCAGCTGAACTGGAGAATGATGAACATGACACTCACTCGCCATCCTAAAGGTCTGTATTTTGCAAGGACACTGCAGGCCCTCTCTGGAACCGTGAAACGCCATGGACAAGGTGCCATGTACTGAAAGCTCACTCCCCAGGGAGTGAATGACAGCACAGACACATACTGCTGGGAGCGGGCGAAGGCTGGGAGAAAGGCCCAGAGGGTCGGCTTACTTTGTTCACGGGCTTCTCTGGAACCTTCACAGACACCTCTGCTGGTTTTCCCTTCTTCGATGGTGTTCGCTTGATCTTGGGCGAGTGGAATTTGTCCATCAGCTTCATGGTGAAGGAGGAGAGATGGGAACGCTGAGAGTCTGAAAACAGAGAGGGCACCAGATGTTAGAGGGCATGGCGGGCAGGCTGTAGTCCACTGACCGCTTAAGGAGATCAGCAGTGTCCCCAAACCAGTCTCCTTCCATGGCTATTCGGAGTTGAAGGAAAGGAAGCATGGATCCATTTAACCATCTCTGCTTACATGTCTCAGTTTTAGAAATTTCTATGTGAGTTAGGCTATTTCGAACTATGAAAGTTGGAGGCAGTCAGAATGGTCATGGGGAAGAGCCTGCAAGTATTGTAAGCGCTCTTGCAGTTCGTGTGGTGCTTGAACTACGCCCAGGGGAACTGGCTAAGGAGAAGGGATTGCGAGTGGTGCCACAGAAGTGCAGGATCTAAGTCAGGAAGGAAGGAAGGAAGGCAGGCCGGCCCGCTAGAACCAACCTCCTCGTTCTTAGGTTTAGGGAGCCACAAATGACCTGGCCAAGGTCCCAGAGTTGACAGTGGAGAGTGAACTAAAAGTAAAGTCTTCAAAACCTTCTGGGCCACCATGGAAGACTGAATGATTTTGCCCTAAGATGAGGAGTAGGACTAAGACGTCTCACCACTCTTAGCTGATGCCATGTTGGAGGTTCTTATGGGGCAATCAGGTGAGAAAAAGAAATAAACATATCCAGATCAGAATGGAAGACACGAACTGTTAACTATCTCTGTTTATAGATGACACAATCTTGTGCATGTGCAATTCCAAGTACATTTTCCACCAATAATAATAAAAAAGTTAGGTAAAATCAATACCCAAAGATGAAATGAAATTGTAAGATGCTTCCACTTATAGTATCATCATAAAGAATAAAATACACATAAATTTAACAACAGTACAAGACTTACACACTGGAAACTAAAAATCATTGTTGAAATAAATTAGAGATAATCTAAGTAAACAGAAATACACCCATGTTTATGGATCAAGAGGCTTAACATTATTAAGATGGTAATATCCCTGAACTAATCTATAGATTTCAATATAATCCCAATGAGGTTCTCACTGGCTTATTATTATTATTTTTTTTTCCCAGAAATTGACACTCTAACCTTAAATTCATAGGGCAACACAAGAGACTTGGAATAATGAAAACAACTTGAAGTAAAAAAAGCTAGATGACTCATACTTTTTAATTTAAAAACTTAATAAAGCCACAGTAATCCCCATGTGTGATGTAAAAAGACAGACATAAAGATCAACAGCACAGAACTGAGAACCCAGGAATAAATGCAGGTGTCTATGCCTGCTGATTTTCCACAAGAGTGTCAAGATCATTTGACAGGGAAAAGTCTTTTCAGCAAATGGTACTGAGACAACTGTACGGGCACACGCGGGAGGATGAACTGGGGCCCTATCTCACACCATATGCAAAAATGAACTCAGAACTGAGCAAAGACCTAAATGTAAGCGTTACGACTATAAAACTCTTGGAAGAAAACACAGGTTTTTTTTTTTTTTTTTTTTTTAAACTTACTCTC